TGAACTTCACCGTGTCATACTCTGGGGAGTCATACATTGGTTAACGGCATGCCAGAACATGTGACCAAGAAATCTGCAAATACACTCAAATACACTCAAGTCTTCCCACGTGAATTTGTTGTACACAGAATTTTCCAAGGCAGTTGGAAATTTATTACAAAATAAAAATTAAGGTTGTGGTTGAATACACAATTTTTGTTTAAAAAATTACAGCAGTCTTTTTCAGGTTTAAATAACATCTATTAAATTCTGTAAGACAGGCATATTTCCTATCACTGAGACATTCAACAAGAGTCATACTTTTTATGCATCAGAAATTGGGGCCAAAAATAAAAATCAGAAAATGAGATCTACCTTTACAAAAAAAAAAAAATTTGCAGGGCAAAATCCCATAATTGCAACATAGCAGACCCTCCTCCAATGAATATCCACTATCATTTTCACAACTTTAATTTATCAAATATAATGACTGTGAAAAGCTCTTATAAATACGAAAAAAAAATCGTAAACCAAACAATTTGATTTTAGATGCCATGTGTTCACTGTGGTCATCACATAATTTACTATTCCTTTTTTGTTTACATAATTTGGCTGGGCAGTTATTTGCTCTCATTGATAATGAAAATAGCAGAGCAAAAAGTTTATATTCCAGCAAGATAATTTTACATAATTAAGAAGTCATTTTACACATGATAAAATAGAAGGGTTGTTAGGAATTCAAAGAAAACCTACAAAAGTTCTGCCTTTAAAGTGCTCACAGCAGTAGGAAAATAGGCTGGGCAGAAGGCTAACCACCACCAGAAATCAAGTGCAAATATGCTTTAACATATGCCAACAGTTTCTGTTTGGAGGAGAAGGGTGCCCTAAGGAAAAAGTATAAGGGTAGAGGGAAGCCAAGTCTAAAAGATTTTATTCTGCAGGAAACGGAAAAGTCAACAAAGGTTTTTGAGCAAGGAAGCAGCATGATACCTACAGTAGAAAGAACAGGCTAGAGGGAAAGACAAGAAGCAGGAAAGTCTACTGGAATTAGGCTGCCAGAGGCAGAGAAGGAATTGAACTATGAATATGAAAATGAAAAACGGAAGGTACAGAAAAAATCACCAATTCCAAAATACACTCTTAAACCACCTGTGGCTTCTTATTAAAGTAACTGCTAATATAAGGTACACCATGAGAGAGAAGCACACAACCCATACTGAAATACCGGGTCCATTTATTCAAGGAAATGGGCTTTCTGATATCTAAGATCCTAAACCAATTCTAAGAAAGTCAAAGCAATGAAAAATCAAAAGCCCTGCAATGCCAAAATTTCTCAACTAGGGGAAGTCACAGGGCAAGTTCAAAAGGCGTGAAGATTAAAGATGCAGCATCCCAAAGAGCTGGCCGGTGGTCGCAATAGAAAAATATCCACCGAACAGAAGAAATCCAATCCCTCAGCTCATTTTTTCCTAAACCTGGAATATTCAAACCAAGCTAAAGAAGGAGACAAGGGTGTCGAATTTTGTATATGAGGGTGAGTGGAGCGGAAGGAAGGATAGTGAGGTGGAATAAAGGAGAATACTGCTCAAAGCTTTAGAAGAGAAAATTAACTGATGATCATTTATTTGTATATCATCTCTTATGTTCTCAAAACACATAAAACATTTAGTAAGTACCAATAGTACACTACAGTTACCTACTGAAATAAAGCATAAGCTTAATCTTACTGCCCTTAGAAGGATGATAAATTAAAACATTCTCAAAGATATAATAAAAAATAATTTCCTCAACAAGTAGACATTATTATATTAAAAAAATTCATTATTACTTACTTCTTTAAAATAAGTTTCTGTATTAAGTACTGTCATCCTAATAAGCATAAAAACTAAACCAAAAAGACAAACAACCCAAACTCTGGCCTAATTTCCTTAGTGCCAATGATTAGATTAGGTTCTCTTTTTTTAAGGCCTAGTTCACTGCTCAGTATATTGAAATACCTCTGATTTAAATCATATAGACACTCAGTGCCAAAATCTTTACTAACAGTGTGCAAGTCTCATATCTAAATTACTCAGCCCCACTGTCTAAAATGACAATACATTCCTTAAGAAAAAAATACAATATATTTACAGACTGTCTTTAACGTACTTTAGAGCTTTTATGCCTTAAATTTAAAAAACATCATTTGATGAGAAAAACAGAATAAGTGAAAAGGAACAAGATCTGATGTAAATGGCTGTGATACTGGTTATACGTTACCTAGAAACGTTTTTACATTTCTAGTTGATTCTGTTGCCGTGTTTTACATAGAATTACTTCAATGAGCTGCTTATACATATGCTTTAAGGATTCAAAAAAGAACCAAAGGTCACAACTCACTACTAAAGTCAAATTAGGAAAACAATGTCTTCAAACATGCCAAGAATTGAATTTCTGGAATAAGTAAGCCAGCATTCTGTTTACAGGACTAGGGTGCTGGAACTCTGGGCAAAAGGGTAGAGTAGACCGGGGATAAGACAGCGCAGAGTGCTGGGCCAGCAGGACAGCCAGGATTTCCCAAGAGGTAGGGAAAAGCAAAAGACCAAAGCTAGAAAAGACAGCCAAAAGAATTCAGTCACCTAGAGATTGCTAAAAATCATTCTGAAGTATTTCTAATGGTGCTAGTACTGGTTTAACGAAATAAGAATTCTGGTCAGGCGGGGTGGCTCACGCCTGTAATCCCAGGACTTTGGGAGGCCGAGGCGGGCGGATCACCTGAGGTCAGGAGTTCGAGACAAGCCTGGCCAACATGGGGAAACCCGGTCTCTACTAAAAACACAAAATTAGCCAGGCACGGCGGCACGCACCCGTAGTTCCAGCTACTCCGGAGGCTGAGGCAGGAGAATGGCTCGAGGCAGGAGAATGGCTCGAACCAGGAGGCGAAGGTTGCTGTGAGCCGAGACTGGGCCACTGCACTCCAGCCTGGGCGACAGAGCAAGACTCCGTCTCAAAAAAACAAACAAAAACAAAACAGAAATAAGAATTCCATAATTTCTTCTGAAAATAAGGCCTCTGCTACATTTCTCTCCAAACTCACTATGATGACTGTAAAGATTCACCTTCTGATTCTATATTATACATTCAATTATATTTAAGTGTTAATCTAGAACAGTGGTCCTTAACTAAGGCTGTATTTTGCCCCCAGAGGACTTCTAGCAATATGTGGAAACGCTTTTGGAGCTCATAGGTTGGGGGACTGCTACTACCATCTAATGAGTGGAGGCCAAAGATGCTGCTGAATATCCTACAATGCACAAAAACAACCTGCACAACAAAGAATTTCCCGGCCCCAAATGCCAACCGTGCTAAGGTTAAGACACACTGATCTCTTCTGAACACAAGCAAAAGCCTCCTCCTGGGACCTTTATTCTAGTCCATCCCTAACAGTCACCTAATTAAAGGACATAACACCACGACCAGATGATTCATTTCTCAATTGCTTTAAACATGGTGGATGGCTGGCTTAAACTAAGAGTCACACAGAAATACACTGAAACAACATATCACACCAGGAGAGCAAAAACTGCAAGAAAAAAACTTTTTAATCCTTTTATTTCATATCTATCTCACATTCAATTCACAAGAGAAGCAGATACACTAACCTCCTCAAAACACAGTGTTTCTTATTAATGTAAAAACTTAGGCAACAGCATTAACTGAGAAAGACTTACGTTGGGGGCGAGAGGGTGAAAAAAGCCACACAGGTCTTTAAAATGCAAAGTTATTTCACAGTTTACTTGCAAAATGACTCAGATCATTATTACTTTTAGTCATGCCAACTTTGCTGCTCCCAAGCCTACTAGCAATGGAGAAAAAAAACCCACCATTTTTTCTGCAGTCATGAAACCAATGAAACAGAAGCTTACTGAAAACAGGTTTGTGCAACATTTCTTTTTTATTATAACTGGTATAAAAATAAAAGCAGTCCTTGGAAATGCAAATGAAGATTCTGAGAAATTTTTCATCTAAATACCTAGAGTGTGAGAAGAAAACATGCAAACAAAAGAAAACCCTAACTCACAAATCTTAACCTGTGACTATCTTCCTACTGCTTCCCTAAATGAAAACCCTGGTTTACTCTTTTTTATTTTCTTCCCTGTCAAACATTTGGAAAAGACCTCCACGTAGCGTTTCACGAACAGAACAGTGCGAAGAACAAATAAAAGCCCTGCGTGTACCTGGCAAATCTCATTCATCAGAAACGGTGGCAGCGGAGGGAGAACCGTGTTGTCTGGCGTGACCCTCTCGCTCCTTTCACAGCAGTTTTCACCACTCGAGTATCTGCCTTGCCTACTACTAAAGCAAAGCTTCCCAACCCCACTTGGGTGGCTTCCATGCCCCTACAGCAAGAAAAATCAAGCATCCAGCGCAGCCTTTCCCCAGCGCAGGCGGAATGTAATCGATGCTCCTTGACCACTTAAGGAGTCGCCATAGGAAGTTAACAGGAAAGACATTTCAGCCCCATCTCAGAGACCCCACAAAAGGTGCACTGATTTCACCAAACGTGGCACTCTGGGCATGAGAAAACCACAGTCGAAACACAACCCACACCTCACACGAAGAAGGGTTTTCCGGGAGGGGGCTGGGGACGGCGTGGGGGGGTGGTTATTTTCTAGCCACGAATGCCCCTTCGTCTTTGTAAGGCTGAGCTAAACTTCAAAGCAAAGGGTTTCCACAGGACCCGCCGCCTCGGACTCGCGCCTGAGCTCTTTGCTGGGTCGCCGAAGGCATCCGAGAGAAGTGACGCGCCCGCCCCACCACGGGGAGTCCTGGCCCGCCGGGGCGGAGGGAGGCCGGGCACCCGGAGAGGAGGACCCGCCTCGGCTGCGCACCGCCTGACCTAGCTCCCGCTCGGAAGCCTCCTCGGGCGCTTCCTCCCCTTCCCTCCGGGTTTCCAAACGCCGAGGGCCGCGCAGCGGTCACCGCGGAGCGCCGCGCCCGGTCCCCCGCCGACCCGGGGTCCCCGACCCGGCCGCCCTTACCAAGCAGCAGCAGCTTGACCTCGCGCGCCGCCTTCTCGCCGTCCTCGCGGAGGTTGCGGTCGATCATCTTACTCCGCTCCACCGCCGCCTTGTCCTCGGCGCTCAGCGTGCAGCCCATGTTGCCGAAAGCGAGAGCCTGCCGCCGCTCCCTCCGCGCCCGAGTGCGGGCTCCAAGCACAGGGGAATCCTTTCTCTCTCTGAGCGGGCGTTCGAACGCCTCCCGACGGGGGCCACGCCACCCCCACCACTTCCTAAGCGGAGTCGAGAGAGACGCCGTCCGCAGAGGGGCAGACAGCAACGCGCGGCTGTTCCTCACGGCCAGGCTCTGCTTCCCGGTGCGGCTCAGCGCCCCCAAGTCTCCGGTTTGGGGTTTTGAAGCTCTGGGTACAGTGGCTGCTGCCCTACCGCCGGTGGCCGCGCCGCAGCCTCGCCAAGCCCAGCCGAGCTCGGCCTCCGCGCGCCGCCGCGGCCCCGCCCCTGCCCGCCCCTCCCGCCACCCCGCGACCACTCCCAGAGCGCGCGCCCGCGCACGTGCCCTTGGACAGCGCCCCCTCGGAGGGGCGCGCGCGCCCCCCGGCTCCCTACCGCGGCGCCGCGACACCCCCGAGGGCCCGGCGCCCCCTGGCAGCGTCCCCGGAGCACAACACTGACCCGCGGGCCTGTGGCCTTCTGCCCTGGGCGGGAGTGGGGTAATTTCTTTCCGTTTACTCACACCGAGGGAGCTGTGCGTACCTGCCCCTTCGGGTAGGGGTGGGAGAGCTGCCAAAGTTGCCGAAAAAAGCCAGTTCTGGGCGTTTGAGCATGCCCAGCGCCGGCAGCCACACAAGGCTTTTCAAAATGCAAATCCCTGTCGGCTGGCTTTCAGGGCCGTGGGAAACAGGGAGCTGGGGAAGGAATGGAGCCTGGTGAAACCAGAGATGGGCACAGTGGAGAAGAGGAAAGTCGGGGGAGGAGACTAGGAAAGGGCAACAAGGTCAACTTTCTTCCTACCTTTTGCTTCTCTTTCCTTCTTCCTATCCCTCCCTCCTTCCTTCCATTCTCAGGTTTTTCACAAGAACTCATTTTGAAGGATTTCCTTGTAACCTAAAAAAATGGGAGACAAATAATCAAAAAGTACTTTTAAATGATAAGAGCAATAAAACACACCCACAACAAGCCAATCTCCACATCATAGCAGATCTCCTCTAGAGCAGCACATAAGCTTCCATGCCAAATTTTGAGCCAATATTTGTTACCGTGTTTGTAACTCCTGTACCACTGGGCATGTCGTTTTTCTTTGCCCATAAAATGAGGAGTGCATTTATGGGGCTATGGCCCCATCCTTCCAGCTGTAACTGATCCGCCCGAGATAAGTTCCTGTGGCCTGCAGGAGGCATTACTACTCAGCACCCAATGAATGAGCAGAGGCTTAAGATCTCATCTCTCCCTGTCAATTGCACTACACCTTTCCCCTACAGATATCACAGGAAGCGTTAACTGATTAGAAAATGGGACTGGTAGCAAGGAAAAACATCTTCCTTGATGTATTAAAAATTGGGAAATGCTCCCTGGTTTTCATCTGGAAATCTTATTATCTAAAAATCATTTGAGAAAACTGGGCTTGAGTTTTCCAAGGTGAGGCTGAACTGATGATACAAGCAGAATAGCTTTCGAGTAGGTCACTGAGACCACGCTTGTGAGCTAGCAGAGACTCTGAGTTACCTCCTTATGGGACATGTCCTTTCCTGTTCTCCTATGGGAGTCACACCACCTGCTGGGCTGATGAGATGCAATTTCAAGATCTGCCTCAACTATAATCTTTTGTAATATAACAACAAAAAGGAGCAATCTTTAAATGTACTTACTCACCTTCTACACTGTAATTCTTGGCACTCTAAATGCTAATGTGTATCAGAACTCTGGAATTAAACTTAAGGAAATTAAATTTCAACATACTGTGTGTTAGCCATTCTTGATTATCTTTTATGGTGAGTCTTTCCTATTAAGTTTGGACCAGAGTGTGGAGCCAACAGTTTCAGCAAAAAAAGAAGCAGTGGTGGCTGAATATTGGTTAAAATTACTACAAAACTTATGTTTTGGAGAAATGAAGGTGTAACAGAAGTTTGTCAAATAGGTGACGTTACTTCTGTCCTTTGAAGTTAGTCAAATAGGTGAGTTAAAATGTAATACATAAATGAATAAGAACAGCAAATTAGATTTATATGTAGCAAAATTCCTAAGAGGATGCAGAGTAATGAACTGATCAGTATGGGGGGAAATTCTAAAATAAGAAAGTTTTGAAAAAAATGTTTGAAGGAGGTGATAACAGAATATTGGTGGGGAGTTTAAAGAAGTATGTATTAGTTCAGGCTGCCCTAAAAATACCATAACCTGAGTGGCTGAAACAATAGGAATATATTTCTCACCGTTCTGGAGGCTGGTAAATCTAAGATTAAGGTGCCAGTTGATTCAGTTCCTCAGTGAGGATTCTGCTGCGGCCTTGCAGATGGCCTCTTTCTTGCTGTGTCCTCACATGGCAGAGCAAGAGCGAGAGAGAGCTTGAAAGCATTCTGGTCTCTCCTCTTCTTATAAAGCCCCATCTTAAAGGCCCCACTCTAAAGACCTCATCCAAATCTAATTACCTCCCAAACGTTCCAACTCCAAATACCATCGTATTGTGGGTTAGGGCTTTGGAGACATTCAGGTCATAGTAGAGTATGTTTTGTTTAAGGGAACTAACCAGCTAAACAGTTAATATGCAAGATACATGAAAGAGAAAACAATGGTTTTATAATTGTAAGTAGTTTGGCTGTGAAGAATGATAGGATGTGTGGGACAAAGTTGGTGTAAAGAATGATGGGATGTGTGGGACAAAGTTGGAAGACAGCTTTAAATGCTAAGGTGAAGAGTTGGACTTGATACAGTGTGTACTAAGTGCTAGTACATTGGGTCCTTAGTACTAGTACTAAGTGGATACTAATATAAATTCTTTCCTGAGTTGGGTAATACATGTTAAAAAACAAAAAAATAAAAAAACCCTCTTACCACTACATGCAAAACAAATGGGTTACCAGCAAGTAAAATGTGTTAGTAATCCAAATGTGAGGTGGTGAGAGTCACTCAAGCTAATAACTTACATAATTATGATGTTGCAAAATATGATTCAACAACCTTGTCAAGGAGGAGGTAGAGCAGATATTATTTATTTATCTATTTTATACAGAGTGAAATTGAAATTATAGAGGTTAAAGCACTCTACTTCAGAGTTTCACTCTTGTTGCCCAGGCTGGAGTACAGTGGCACAATCTCAGCTCACTGCAACCTTGTCTCCCGGGTTCAAGCTTTTTTGAGATATAAGTCATATGCCATAGAATTCACCTCAAGTATACACTTCAGTGGCTTTCAGTATATTCACAGAGTTGTGCAAGCATGATTACAATCAATTGTAGAATATATTCATCACCACAAAAAGAAGCTCTGCAATCCTTAGCCATTATCCCCAATCCTTTATCTTTCCCCAGTCCTAGAAAACCACTAATCTAATTTCTGTCTCTTTCAATTTGCCTATTCTGACATTTTATAAAAAAGGAATCATATAGTATATAGTATTTTGTCACTGGCTGCCTTCAGTTAGCATAAAGTTTTCAGGGTTCATCCGTGTAGCATCCACCAGTACTTCATTTCTTCTTATTTCTGAATAATACTGAACATTATATGTTAAGAGAGTTAGAGACATATGTTAAGAGACAAATTAGAACACATCCAGCTGAGAGCCTCAGGATTCAAAGTAGCTACAAACTATGTCATAAGGAATAATTGAAGAAATTGGGGATATGTAATGTAGGAATGAGAGATACAAATGACTGAAGAGATGTCATAAATCAAAAGGAGTAGACTTTTTTAGCTGGCTTCAAGGTAGTGTTGAAAGCTGTAGCAAACAAAATTTTGCCTTGCTATGTTGTGAATGGGAGCCTTACCATATGGAATTAAGAAATAAACATGGAGAATGCAGAAGCTGAATAAGGAGACTTTTTCAAGAACCTTAACCATGGAGAGGGGTTGACATACGGGATGGTAGTTGAAGAGGTAGGTATGGAATTTGTTTCATTTCACTTGTAACTCTTCTCAAATATTATTCAATTGAGAAAAAAAGGATTGCTATTGATATGGTTTCACTGTGCCCACATATAAATCTCAGGTTGAATTGTAATCCCCATACGTCAAGGGTGGGACCAGGTGGAGATAATTGAATCATGAGGTCAAATCCCCCCTTACTGTTCTCCTGAGTGAATAAGTCTCATGAGAGCTAATGGCTTTATAGGTAGGAGTTTTCCTGCACAAGCTTTCTTGCCTGGTGCCATGTAAGACATGACTTTGCTCCTCCTTTGCCTTCTGCCATGATTGTGAGGCCTCCCTAGCCATGCTGAACTGTGAGACAATTCAACCTCTTTCCTTTATAAATTACCCAGTCTTTGGTATGTCTTTATTAGCAGCATAAGAACAGACTAAAACAGTTATGGAACAAAGGAAAAAACATGGCCACCCTACTTTCTGACCACCACTTCAGACGTTTTCATCTCACCCTCTGTTACATTATTACCATCAATTCTTCAGTCTCACAGAGACCTTCCATCTACCAACCATATGCCTTTTCTCTTTCTGTCATGCCCCACATGTGCTAATGTCTCTCCTTGTGCAACTTATATTCCATCCTCCATCAGGATAATTATTCATTTGCAATATCCTCAAAACACTCCCACCATTGTATTCAACAGGAAAAACCTCGAATCTGGTTAAATCTACTCTGCCTATGTATGACTACACCTGTTCAGCTGATCTTGACTGGAGGAAAACACAGTAACCAACAACTCCACCTTTCTGTTTGCTCAGGCCAAATACTTCGAGTTATCCTAGATTCTTTCCTTTTCCACAAGCCTTGGTTATTCAGTTTGTTAGGAAATCTTACTAACTTTGTCTTCAAGTATAACCAGAATTTGGCCAAATATTGCCATCTTTACTGAGAGACACTAGAGATATTTATGAAATATTAACCAGCTTTCTGCTTCCTCTAATTCTACTTTGATCTCTTACTGTTTCCCACCTAGCAGCCAGATGCATCCTTTTAAAGTGTCAGGGAGAACTATCCATTCACTTTCCATCTCACTTAGAGGAAAATCTCATCTAAAATCCTTATGATGGCACACAAGGACTTGCCATTTTTTTACCATGTGCCTCCCGCATAGTGTTTTCTGCCATTCTCCTTGTTGTCTGGTTCAGGCTCACTGACCTCCAGACTGTTCTTTGAACCTGCCAAACACACTCCATCATTGGCCTTGGCATTTATGCTCCCCCTGCCTGGAACACTCTTGAGCCAGGTATCTGCTTGACTCACTCCTTTATTTCATTCAAATCTCTGATCAAATGTCTTCTCATCAGAGAGATATCTTTCCTGACTACTCAACAACCATTCTTTATTCCCTTATTATGCACTATAATTTATTTA